CTATAGAAAAATGGAGAGGATAAGATAATCAATGCTAATACATCTTCGTATTCGAAGGTAGTTATTTTGAAAAAAAGTCGATTGAAAACAAAATTAAAAAGATAAATAGATAAAATAAAAAAATTATTCGACTACTTGAACGCGATAAAAGAATTTATAATATATTCTATTGAGAAAGGAAAATATTAAAGAGAGAAAAATATACAGCAGTCCAATAAACTTTGTTATCGAGTTTATTCGATAGAAGAGCCAGTATATCGCGCATATTAAGATTCATCCGTCCGCAGAAATCCTCTTTTACCTAGTTTTCACCAAGGAAAGTTCAAAAAGAAGAAGATATCGTATATCCATAGCCCATCTTTAGTGCAGATCTTTAAAGAACTCCATTGGACGGGAGAAAACTATTCGTTTCCTTGAGAATCCTTTCTTAAAACTATCGACCAAAACAATCAGAGATATTCTTTATCGAGCTTTGCAACGAGAAAGAAAGAGAAAAGATCGACCATTTCTAGTGTCCCTTTTTATCAAATTTTTCTGAAACTTCTCTTCTAATAAAGTATTCCAAAGTACGTAATTGAAATAATTTATGTATGTATTTTTATTTTAATTGAAATTAAGTACAAATATTTTATGAAAGCAAATAATGAATATATTGCTTATAGCTATTTAGAATATCTTTATTTGTTGTACAAATATAAAATAAATAAAAATTCTATTCCCTATTTTCCAAATTTTGTTTTTGATAGGAATTCAATATACTAAATGTTGAAATTACAAATTTAAACACAATTTTATATAAATACAACCAATAATTAATAAATAATCATTATATAAATTAATTTCATCATACCTATTTTCAATTATTGCATTATAAAAAATATTCGTATGAGTAAAAAGTACTATCGACAATTCAAATAATAAAAGCTCGAAGAAATAATCAAGTATCGTTAAAATTTTCATACGAACAGAATTCACGTATAAACTGATTTCCCTCCAACTCAAACAAGAAAAAAGAAAAAAAAAAAGAAGATGAATCTATTAACATCTTAAACCTAGAATCAATGCTAATTGGCTAAATGAGACACCATGTATATCTTACAACGCAGCCATGCATATTCGTGGCACAGGCAGAAAGTTTGCACGAGTACACTGCCTACAGGCATACGTTGTCTGGGAAAGGCCCGGCTAATTTTGCTGGCCACAGCACCAGGCGACCTGATACCGAACGTATGAACGTGAGGTGCACACCCGGAATCTGTGCCCGGCCGAGTCTGTGCTCCTTCGGCAAATGTTTACCTCCGCACCACTGCCGACCGATCTATGTATTATTATCGGACTCGTACACATCGTTGGCTTGCGATGCCAAAGCTGTCTGACCATCGACCGTCCTCTATCCACTGTGGAGTCTATCTACGGTGAACGTTCGGAACATTTACGACGAGGGTTGGTGATTTTTTCAGGCAAAATTGTAGGCTTGGAGTTTTATTTCTGGGAAGATTGGCAAATTAATGGGAATGTACGTTTGGGAAACGGGATTGTGTTACCTCGTTTTATAGGATAGTAAATGAAATAGAATAGTGGAAATAGAAGTTGAGAGAATGGAAGATTGGGGTGGTTTTTTTTTTATTTTTCTATTTTCGCATTTTATGTTTTTTTTTCTTGTTTTGTTTAATTTTTGTTTACTTTTGGAAAGATAAATATATATTTTTTCAAATATTAATTGACGTTTAATAGTTGATTGTATTTAAAGATGGTTTGATGAATCTGCTTTTAATATCTATCTTCAACTTTTTATGATACAATATTTTTAACCTTAATCTCGATAAATAATACAAAAAAATATCAGATTTTTTGTTTTTGCAATTATTAAAGAGTAAGAAAAAAAATTTATCTTTCTTTTCTTTATCATATAATTATAATCATGAATAATGTATAGTAAATTCATTTACACATATTCACACTTTGAAAACAAATATCTTTATCTTATTTCCTTACAGAAACGCTTAAATATTCACGCGAAAAATATCTTCTATACATAGAAGATCACACAAAACGAAAAAAAAAAAAAATGTTAAAAACGAAGTCAGACAAAAATTGTTGCGGCTCATCTCGCGATATTAACGATTCTATGAGAGAGGTCAGTGTGCTCGATCCCTCGACCACGAATATACGTAACACGTGCAAGCGATCATCGTCGAAAGAAATCGAAAGGCGGGGAAAATCGCGTCATCGGCCAAGCTGGCGAACGTCGATCTTAAATCGTATTTTGTAAACAGTGGTTCGCGTGCTTCCGTGGTCTTCGAACGATAACGTTAATGGACTTCATTTACATGGCGTAATTACAGCAAATGGTCGGCTCGCGATTCAAATTAAGCGCGAGGTGCAACGATCACGAGATCAAGGGAAAAAGATTCATCCGATATAAAATATTTCGCACGTTATGTAATTTTACGTGTTTTCGAATGATTTTATGAAAATTTGAAAATTTAATGAATTTATTTAACAGTTCTAAATTAATGTAATCTTTTTTTAATTAACCAGATTTTTTGATTCTATTTATTTTGATACGTAAGTATTACTGTATAATATATTTGTATTCTTTCATTTAAATATTTATATATATAATATTAAATATTTGCATAGAATCTTGAATAGATAGATAAAATTTTTTCGTACTAATATTTGATTTTTTTTTATTCTGTTTTTTTTCTTTTTAAGGAATATTGTAAAAATAGAATATTAAAACATCTTATCTATCATTATCATTTATCAAGAATTATTCTATTTATTCTATTTATCAAAAAAATATAAAATCATAAGAGTTTTATTTGATTGTTCAGAAAAAGTAATTTTCTTATATTTTCTTTATTTAATTATTACTTAATATTACATTTAATTTAATAATGTTTTCTATTTTCAGATTCTATATTTAATTCATAAATTTTTACAATATTGCTTTCTATTAAAATCTTCATTTATTACTTTAAATTGGATCTGTTATTGTTAAATTTGATGTTTGAAAGTTTAATGATGAAAAATATGATTTGAAAGTTTTATGATGTAGATTGTTACAGTTAGGGCACAGAGAATTATTGAACAGAAAGTAACAAGAGGTTATGTACATATTATAGATCATTTTGATCGAGATCAATTGTTACTGATCAACCCATGATGTAGAATTGTCGTATAAAAATAATATATAATAGAAGATATTATTATGAAAGATAGAAGAACGATTACAATTTATTATATAACATATTACAATTATGAAATGGAATAAAATAAAAATATTATATTAATTTCATATTAATTTCTCGTGTAAAATTCACATATAAATTAATATAATATATAAATTATATAAATTATATAATATAAATTAATATAAAAGGAATAAAGGTGAAAAATGAAAAATGAAAATATATTGGTTGATAAGAACGAAAATGAAAAATTAATACGATTAAAATTATTTTGACAATCAGAGGTAGGAAATTATATTTTAATTAAATTTGATTGAAATATTTATTTGTATGAAAATAATAAATGTTTATAATTGTTTCTTGGTAATATTGTTAATTTTAAATTAATTTTTCATATAAAAAAATATAAACGATATCGACAAATAAAAAGAATTGAATATTTTTTTGATATAATTAAAATGTATTCGTTCTTCTTTTATATAATTTATAATTTTCGATATCATGAAAAAAAAATGAAAAAATTATATTCATGAAAAAAGAAAAAGTAAAACTCTGAAAAATAATCTTTTATAAAATAAAAACAAAACCTACGCTAAACTTTTTAAATCATTTCCAACCGTACGAATTATCATATTTATTGCATTTTAAATTCTAGAAATTCCAAATCACGAAACATTCCATATAAAAATATCTTTCATCAAAATGAATTGTCAAACAAATCGGTCAGTTCGATAACAAACCAGACGAACCGTACTGTCCACAAACGAATCAGGAATAGCTCGTGTCAGACGCGAGGGCAGCTATCACCGGGTTAATAATATCTGCTCCATGTACAATAAATATCAAACATCATCTTGCTTCTTTACACGGGTCATGAGATACTATCACGCCAATTTTCTATGGTTAAATTCTCAATAAAGTAAAATGATACTACGAGACTTGTATCGCACACAATTACAAATTCTCATATTTGATAGGCCAGCTAAATTTCTAATTATTTTTTCGCGACAACAGTATTAGCAAATGCAACAGTTAACATTATCATTTATTACGTCGATATATTATATACCGATTAAAATATCCTCTTTAAATTTATATTACTCGAAGAATTTTAGGTAAATTAATTTTTTAGCTTAGAAGAATCTTAGCTTTTAGAAAAGTCAAAAGAACTAAAAGATTTCCTTTTACTTCCTACGTGACAAAAAAATAGATTCTTTCAAATACCCTTTCAAAGTATACAGTATAATAAAATTAATATTTCATTAAAGATCATCCATATATTTCTCAAACGGTACGTACGTTAACAACAATCTAGAAAATTTCTTGAAAATTTTAATTCATTTCTATCAAGAAACAAAAAAGAAAAAAAAGTAAAGAAAGAGAAACAGAAACACCTACTTGTCTCCAGGAACGCGAGAACGAAGCGGAGGAAGATTCGTCGTTTTCTACTCTCTTCTCGAAACACGCGACAACATTAGGGAGAACGCGTTTCAGCGCGGCGTTCCTTTGCTTCTCTTTTTCATCGTCGCGTCCACGAAAATTCGTCTCGTGCGATGACACCGCGAGAACACCAATTATAACTTCCCTTCGTTTTGCACGCGGCGTCGATTTAATGAAGATACCACGTCGCGTAAACAACGTTTCGCCCCTCGGACCAAACGAACTTTCCAATTAACCGCCGGTAAAATTACCTTCTCTCACCAATTCCAAAAAGAAAAAAAAAAAAAAAGAAAAGAAAAAGAAAACTCTCGATTCTCAACAACGTACTAAGTAACAAAAAATCGAGATTATCTGAACACTTACATAGCTCCTGTAGGAGGCCATGATTCGCGCAATCTCTTCTCCTCGATCAAGAGAAAACGAAAGGATTCCAAGAGTGAGACGACGACTCCCTCGATTCACCGATCACCATCGACCACCGACACCATCGACAACACCAAAAGAACCACCACCACCACTACCACCACCACCACCAACACCAAGCACCAGCACCACCACGCGGAGCGTGCACCACGTTCGTTTCACCGTGACACCTATCGAGATCGAAAAGAAGAAGAAGAAGAAGAAGAAGAAGAAGATTTTAAAAGAAAGAAGTCGAGAAAAAACTGGATGGAAAAGGAGAAAGAATAGGAAAGAAGATTATGAAAGATATAGAAAAATATATAAAAGGAAACTCGAGAGTGAAATAGAGACTATAAAGTTGGATGAAGAAAGACCGAAAGAGGGACAAGAAGAGGTGCACGAGGTGAAACGTGGAGAACCGATCGAACGACGAACGGTTCGACGAAGCGTCGTCCCCGACGGCACGTTCTCATAAGAGAAGAAGAAGGAGAACGGTACGGAGGCGCTTCGTTTCGGACGAAGCTCGGACCCTGAAGAAGAGCCGGCGACCCGCGAGGCACGCCGTTTTCCCTCTCTTTCTCCATCTTCGCTCGTCTCTTACCAAGCCTACATTCTCCTCTTTCCACTCTACTTTTCCCTCTTCCTCTGGTTAACGTGTACAACGCGGCCCGCACCTCACCCCTACCCTTCGTATCGGCTTCTCTCGTTCATTCGCTTCGTTCAGTCGAGCCCTATTTTAAGAATAGCTTCACGTCCTCTCGCCGTTCGGCTTCCGTGCCCGCCCAAACACCGAGCAACGTAAGCCTCTTCGAGAACGAAGCTCGAATCTTCGCGGAGTTTGGGAAAGTGTCGTTTATTCGATCGAACGACGAGTCGGGCACGATGGATTTGATGGGGGTTTGAGTCAGGTTGTTAGGATGGTGCGTGAACGTTCGATGGATCGTCCGAGATGAAACCTGTGAAATTTTTAAGTGAGTTTCCTGGTGCAGTGATAAAATTGTAAGACAATTTGAGAGAGAACAATAGTAGTTAGAATCGAAAGTTAAGATTATATCTGAACGCATTCAATAATTTCTGATTTTTTAAATTTTTAATTAACAAAGTTTGTTAAAATAATTTTGTCAATAATTACAGCAATAAATAGTATTGAGTATAATTTTTTTTTAATTCTTAGAAACATATGTATACAGATAATGTGTTTTGAAAAATTAGAAAAGTTGTTGAAATTTTGCTGAAAAGAATTATAGAAAGTACATGGAAAAATAAAACGATTTTTTTTGAAATTTTTTCATAAATTTAATTATACATTTAAATTATACTTACCTGAATTCAAGTCTCATAAAATTAAATCTAAAATTTCTACAAAAATGAAAAAACACATTCAATAAATATCTTAAAAAAAGATCACATGAAGAAAATCTTGATTTTTTTATTCGTTTCCTGGTATACTTCATCATCTTCTACCTAAAACAAAATATCAAAGTTAAAAACTCGAATTATATTCTTCAATTTCAAAAACTATACATATATTAAAAATTATAATGTATCAAATATTATTGATTAATCTTCAAAAAAAAATGGCAATAGGATATACATAACGCTAAAATTACTTTCAGGATTATAAACAAGAACACTTGATAAGACAGCCTATCCTATTTTGTGAAATAATCGAATCAACGACTTCACGATTAACAAATAAGATTGTACCATGATGAGCTACTGTCTCGCGTACAATCTTTGTCGATGATATCCTATCTGATGTCGAATCGAACGAAAGGAGGCTATTATCGAGTTAAGTCGAATGAAAGATCGACTATTGAGTCAAATATGAAATTTACCGTGTATCGTACGTCTTTCGATACGATTCTCCTTTTTTTACCCGAATCTCATGTTCGAAAGTATCGAGGAAATCATAGTATTTGAGAGAAAGGACGAGAAAAGGTAAGGAACTTATTCAACAGGAAGACGTCTCATGATCGTGGACGAGGTATCCTTTGAGGCAGGAAGAAGAATTATTGCGTGAAAGAATATTTCGAGAAGAATCGTTTCTTGTGAGAACTTAGCAAGGATCGAATTGTTTCCTTGAGAGGATTTCGAAGAAAGAAGGATTTATTCTCTGGAAATATCGGAAATGCTCGAAAGCGATTACGCTTTTAATAAGTTTTCGAAGGAAAAGAAAATATAGTTGTCTCGCTGGACATAGATTTGTCGAAAAACGAATATTGTGATATTAGATTTCGACAATAATATATATTACTTGACAATGTTATAATATTTGAAAAAAATAATTGAAATATAATATTTTTTTTTACGAAATTTGTATATACTTGATTTGAAAATAAAAAAAATTAAGAAAAATTTTATAATGTACTTTATTTTTTTCAAATATTAAATAATTATCCCATCAAATTATCGAGAAAATAATAATTAAGAAACAATTACACAATACATAATAGATTATTTAACATATACAATAAATAATATATAAAACAATTTTTAACAACAATCTACTTCGATTTACAATCAAATATTTAATATTTAATATTAGAGAATATAAAATATTATAATGTAAAAGTGACTGATTATATTTTACTATTCTATATTTTCTTTAATCTATGATGTAATCTATGAAAATCAAAATTTAATTTAACTAATTTTAGTTCTAATATCATATATAAGAGATTATTATATATAAGAGATATCAATAAAAATTACGAATATTATTCTGAACCGTTCATATATAACACTTCAATCGTTATTGCAAACATTTTACAACACAACACATCCTATCAAAATCCAAAAAAAAAAAAAAAAATACAGTCGAAATTCGATGATCACCGAAATCCAAAAATATTCACTATTCAAATTCCACGCATTCTCCAAGGGTACCAACTTATTCGCACCAATCTTCTTTACGGCCGCTAGTCATCATCGCCGTCCATCGAAGCGTGAACCACGTCCCCCGATAACGAAAGTGGCGCTAACCACGTACAAACGCGGCGACAGTGTCCAAGGAAGCATATAATATTCGTCGAGAAGTTGGAGAGAGCGAGGTCGGAATTCTCGAGAGGGATTCTGCCGAGGAATCCGGCGAACAGTGGAGACAAACTGCTGGCAAAACGGTCGTCTTTGTCCAGGAAACGAGGGCACGGTCGCCGTTTCTCCGACGACAGAGATTCTCCGTGCCCTCTCTCTGTCTCTTTGCACAGCGGCCGTGGGACTGCTCCTCGAGAACGGAAACTCCCGTCTCGAGGAATCGGTTCGAGGATCCTCGAAACCAGCCAACAACGGATTGGCTGGATAAAGTGAAGGAGAAAAGGCGAAATAAAGACGGTGGAACGGCGGTTCGTGCCGCGACCGGCAGGAAGTCGGGCGAATTAAAGCGCCTGAGATTGTTTTACCCCCCGAGACGAAGGACGTCTCCTTTTCTCCTCCATGCTTTGGCTGGGATTTCGAAAGCTAATTGCAATACGAGTTCGAGGGTTACTCGAAACCGAACCGGTGACCCGGGCAAGAATTCCACCGTGGAGGGAGAAGGAGGGGGGTTTGGTGCATCGAGATCATTATTAGCCGGTGCATAATGCGAGTTGATTAAAGTCTGAAGCGGATAGCGATTATTAAAGTGGCGTTGATAACGAAGGATGTCCCTCGTATCTCGAGGAAATCTCGTTCTGGGGTTGTTGAATTATTCCAGAGGATTTTAATTGCCTCGCTATGTCAGTTGGTCCGTAGACAGATTTGCCTAATTGATATCCTCTTCGCTTGGGAATGAGTTAAGATTACTATTGTTGTTATTATTATTATTGTTGTTGTTATTAGGATGCTTCGTGGGGGGAAAAGAGATAAGTATCTAAGGAGAAGTAGGAAATTAAATAAATCGTTATGAAAATAAATTAATCGAAGATATTTGAAATTGATTCTGTGATTTCTGAATTGAAAGATATATTAATTTGGTTCTCTTAACATGATGTTATTCAAGTTGTAAAAATTGAGAAACCGATTGAAAAAAGTTGTGATGGAAGAAAATTAAACAAAGATTTATAACAAAGCAATAGAATAAATTTAACTTCAATGTCCGAATCATACTTTAAAATTAAACGAATTTTAAAATTTATCGTATTATAACTTAAGTGATAATTTTATATGTGAAACATATTTTTATTTTATTTACTTAATTTGATCTGAAAAATTTTAATGAGCAAAAAATAGAAGGGAGCAGATGGAGAAAAAGATGAAAAAACAAGGATAGGATGAAAAGGGAATAAATAAGACCTAAAAAAGTAAAGAATATGAGATTCACTTTGGCATTCAATAATTAAATTTTGATGAATCCCAAATAAATAATCACAACAATAATATCTCTGTGATGAAAAATATTAGAATATTTATAGACCTCTTCCTTTTAACGTAAAATATAAACAATACATTAAATTTCTTCTAGTCTTTCATAATTCTTCTCCAAGATTTATATAGTTTGCGAATCAGATTTCGTGCTGCCAACTTTCGATGTTCATTAAAACGAATTAAGAACAAAGATCCTGTGAACAGTAATCAACATATCCAGTAGTCGAAAAGTAGGAATCGACCGCAAAGTTATCGGTAGAGCTTCTATTGAAACTTCCAGGAACTTGAATTCATAGTTCTCGACATCGATGGCGCCACGAGAGAGCTTTCGAGAACATTTTCGAAAAAAATTGGCAAAACTATTTACCTACGTTTCACTTTACACTTTCTATTCGCGTATCACTTATATACTCTGTCTATTAATATCTTAATTTAAAAATAATCAACATCTATCTCTACAAAGCAAACATCTATACACTTTTTCACGTTTAGCATCTCAACGTTTCCTCTTTATCATCTCCATTCTAATCGCGAATCATAGGTCAAATCTAAACCAATCCATGTGAGAATCGCAGTAACGACTTTGACAAATCGTGTCAAATCTTCCGGTGACAGTGAAAATGAACTGTGATCGTCCGACTGGTGTCATCGATTAATCTCAATCAGGCTAACCAAATCGCGGAAGGCAAAGTGTTGGTTGCATCGGTTCAGTCTTCGCGAATCTATCTAGAAATATTTTCGTTCCCGGTATAGAAGCACAAGCATATAAATACACGGTGAACAGGCAATAAAAATATCGGCTAGCAACCACTCGACCAAACGAAGACACAACCACGTCACGATCACTTTCGATCTTCATGGAGGAGTACACTTAAGATGATGACACTTTGTTACCCTGACGTTTCTGATATTCGAACAAGAATCGAACGAGAAGTGATATCGATTGGATTGTATGAGATAATAAAAGAAGAAAAATAGAAAGTTTATACAATTTTGAAGATGTAAGATGTAAGAATTAAATGAATTCATTGTTATCGTTGATAGATACTATGGATAAGAATTGATTTTTAATAGAGTGATTTCGAAATTTAACAAATAAAAATTCCTATGTTTAATAATCAAGCAAAAATCAAATAATCTTTTGATAGTCTTAACGATACAAAATAATTAAAAAAAAAATAGTAACGAAACAATGAAAATAACGAAATAAAATCTGTATAATAA